CCCCCCGTCCGCGTGATCCAGATGCTGATGTGGGGGCGTCAACATTGTTCTGGGCCCGCGCACAGCAAGCATCATCATGTGGGCACCACCGCCGTCCCTTTCAAAAAACAATACAACATGATCGCGGGTGGCCAGCACAATACCCACGACGTTGTCGCAACTTGCGCTTTGCATTGTTTTTTGACACGGATGGTAGTCCTGCACAAAGCGGCTTCTCTAAAGGTACCCCGCCATCCCTGTCAAAAAACAATACAACGTGCTCACAGGGCGCCAGCGCACTGTCCAGATTTTGCTGAACTGTGCGCTACGTATTGTTTTTTGGCAGGGATTGAGGGGGGTGTTGGCAAGGTGGGCCCCGCAATGTGCATTTTGTATTGTTTCTTGCAAAGGATGGTGGGGGGGGTTGCCCGCATGGTTCCGGGCTGGGTGCTGGCCAGGTGGGGGAGGGGGTGTTTATTGATAGGGAACCATGATCGGGGGAGGGTCCCGGGTCAGAATACCATTTCATTCGGGAGGTCCCAGGACCAACGCAAGCCTCAGGACGAGCCAGGAGTGGCCCAAGGGCCCCTCAACATGGTCCAAGAGGGCGTCGAATCGCCGAACGATCGGTTCAAGACGTCAAAGAAAGCCTCCACACGGCCCAAAAGGCTTCCAAACCGCCCCAAGAGCCTCCAAGACTATTCCCAAAGAGGCCGACAAGGGACAATTCATTGATGTTCTCTTAGTTTTTGAAGGATTTTGGCGTTTTCGTCTTATCGGCTTCCCGACGCTAGGACACAACCCGAAAAGGCCCCCAAGAGAGCTCAAAAACTACCCAAGAGGGCCCCGGGACAGCCCAAGAGGCCGCGAAAATGGCCGACGAGGCCACCAAGACGGCTCCAAGAAGGCGCCCCGACGGGGGACCCCAACGAACATTTCGAGCCCTTGGCCCGGAGAGGCTCCCAAGGGGCTCCAAGATGTCCCCAAGAAACCCCCAAGAGGCCCCAAGAGGCCCCGAGAGGCCCCCAGGAAACTCCAAAGGCTCCCAAGAGGCCCCCACGAGGCCCCCCAAATGCTCTCAATATGCCCCCAAACTGCCCCCCTGAAGACCCCGAGAACGCTACTGCCACAACTACTGGTACTGCTACCGGTCGTATTACTCCTCTTCCACGCCCCCTCGGCTCGGTTTGCCCCCTTTCCTCTCCGATAGACAACGCCTTATATCTTTTTTTTTGTTTTTTTTTTTTTCTTCCAAAAAAATATTTATATATACATATATGTATATATATGTATATTATATATATATATATATATATTATATATTATATATATATATATACACACATATACTCTCTCTCTCTCTCTCTCTCTGTGAACGCCGTTCCCCTGTTAATGGAACTGAATGTGATCGGAGCCATTCGGGCTGGCCACATCTGGATCCGACGTTGTAGGAGACGCAACAATTACCGATTCACCGCCCCGTGCAGCGGCAGGCTTACCAATTTGTGTAGAGGCCTTGGTGGCACCAGAGGCGCCAGCATTCGTGATAGAAACGGTCTGAGACGTGCGGACCCCCCCACAAGCACACTTTTGGTCTGCGGGGCGAAAGCGAACCTCTTCCGGTAAAAGCTAGGCGGGCCACGGACAGCACTAATAGGGGAGACAAGGCGCAGGCGGGCGGGGCTTCAGGCGGCCAGAGGGCGGGCCGGGGCGCAGGCGGCGCCGAGTAGCTTGCACGAGAAAAAGAACGCCGTGGACAGGAGCCGGAGGCGAAGATCTGGAGGGTGAGCGATGTGGTGTTGCCGTCAACGACACTTCGTAAACACCATCCTCAAGCGCTGCATAAGAGGACGAAGTACGCGACCAGGTCGACGTCCAGGGAGGAGAAGTCCACCATGAAGGCGATGAACAACGTTGTGCCGCCGGATGGTGAGGAGGTCCAGGAGAAGAGGAGGACCACGAAGGCGATGTGCAGCGTTGTGCCACCGGGTGGTCGGAAGCGGCCTGGGGTGGTAGTCCAATCCACGACCAGAAAGCAGCCAGCAAAAGGTGCGGCTAGAGACACGGCCGTCCGTGTCCGACAGGATGTCGGAGGAGTGCAGGGAGGATACGTGACCTGCACAGTCAGCGCGACCCCCCACAAGCACACACGCCCAGAATACGAATGAACCGCCGGCCCCCGTGCGAGGCCGCCAGACTGCGAGGCGCGTCCCCTCCCTGTTTCCTAAAACTTGTTACTTGTGCGCGGACGCGGGCACACAGAGGGCCCCCAGTTCTCCTAGAGGCCCTGGCGCACACACGTCCACCGCCGCACCTCCTGCAACTTGAGGCGTAGAAGAATGTCAAGACCTGTCTGCCAAGGTTTCTGTAGTCTTCTGAGGACCCCCCCGAGGCAAAGCAGTGCTGCTCCCGAGAACTCTTGAGAGCGTCTCATTCCGACCTCCCCCATCATGTTTGCCTCCCTCTTCCACCATGAGGGTCGTCCTCCAGGGTCGGCGGCACCCGCCGTAATGCCTCAGCAGTAGACACAAATCCCAGGATTCCCTACATTTTCCGGTATTTTCGGGATTTCTGTATTCCCCCCACCTCCCGTATTTTCACATATTTTCCTGGGAGTCGACGATTAATTGTGTTTGTGTTTTTTTGTTCCCCCTCCTGAGCTTGGTTAGATCATGTGCCGGCCTGACTGTCCGTCCCTTTTCCCAGTGCGTCTGCGAAACCAATTTCGGCTACCATGAGCTCGTGTTTGCCTACGTTCGGTGATGATGCTTGGTCGGCCTCAAAATCTGTCATCTCAGCTGCCTCTTTCTTGAACTGAACTTTGACTCGGGACCGCGTGCCATCGTATCTCCTGTGTCTCACGAACACACATGGCTCGATCTCATTGTCGCGAGGACGGGCTGCGCAAGCAGCCAAGGCAAATCTGCAGATCCGCTCGCACCCGCCCCAGCGCTGGCTGTCAATGGGTATGTTCGTAAATTGCCTTTGATCAGCCTGATCTGTTTGGCGGCCGCTGCATGCGACGCAGGGGCTCGACCTAGCCCCCTTTCTACTCTGATGGTCCTCAACATCTCTCGCAACAACTTCCTCACAACATCACGGACGCTCGCCCGACGGCGCGGCCGCCGCAAATCTGCCCCCCCCACCCGCCCCCTGCACCAGAAACTCACTCGATTCGGACACGGCGACGCGGCTGGGGGGGGGATCATCGGCAACGACGGCGAAGGTCACCTCTGGGCGATCCAACTCCTCGCCGCCGGAACTCACACGAGGAAGGGCCACGATAGCTGACTCGCCAAGGTCATCGGCGCACGCACACCCACGAAGCCGTTCGCGAACGGCGCGCTCGACCCACGCAGCTACGGGCGGGGCGACGGTAAAGCTAGACGAGGAAGGTGGGGGGAGGAAGAAAAAGGACAACGATGAAAGCTGAACTGCGCAAGTCGGGAACGGGGAGAGATCGAAGGGAAAGGGGGGCACTGTGGAGGAAGGGGAAGGATGAATATTGATAAGGAGCTGCCCCTATTCGGTTGTTTTATGTGTACCACTACGGACAGTGGCGGGGACATCCGAGCAGCAGTTGGAAAATGCAAGCACTGTTCGAGAAATGCATTGGAACGCCGATGGAAGACCACTTGGCCGCCCCCCCTTGCCCTCCATCCTGCATCCCCTCACTCACTCCCTCCTCCTTTTTCGCCAACCTCTCCGAAATGGTTGGTGCACTATTCCTACCGTCTGCGCCGCGACGACATTCGCCCGTGCTGCGGACCAAGACGAATGAGAAAAGGCAGCAGCAACCCTCCCAAAACTGCAGGCAGTGAGGAGGGTAAAGGGCGTGCCCAACCCATGACCCCCGCAAGGGCGTGCCCAACCCTGACCCACCCACCCCTAACATACCCTGAGAACGACTGCAGGGCCAAGCGATGTGAAAGCGCGCGGGCCCTTCGATTGACTCGAGGGTCACCCGCAGGAAATTGCGAAACGGAAGCAGGATAGCCTCAGGAAACATGCGAAAACGCAAACGAAGACGATTTCGAGTGCATGGAAACAGGGTGTGCTTCCGGAGCGTCGACGCAGCCAGGGAACCCGCGAGGGAACCCATGAAACTTTGACGTCCAACCCTTCGGCGCCCGCGGCGCGCCCATGTGAGCGTTCTTTATTCGTCGGTTCGATTATTGGGCGGCAAGGGGGGCGGAGGGGAGGGGGGGGTCTGGCTCCGGACCTCTGCTTAGTGCGACTGTTTGCGACAGTGCGTCCTACGAGGGGAGGCTCCACCCGCTCGAAAGAGGCGCCAAAAACACCCAAGAACTATTCCATGGGAGGGGGGGAGGGGGGGGGGGGGTTTGGGGCCCGCGCCGATTGGCAAAACGAAAAATGACAAAAACGATCACCAGGGAAACCCTCCTCGTGCTGTTTCGGAACTCCGGCCCCCCGGAGAACCCACCCCTTGTCGTGTTCCTCGTGTGCCCCTGCCCCCCCCCCATTTTCCCCTCCTCCTCCTCGGCCTCGTCGTCCCCCAACTCCTCATCCTGCTTTCTTCGTCGTCGCCGCCGTCGCCGTCTCCCTTCCTCGGTCCGGCCGTCATTTTTGATCCCGGATCGTTCTTTGGTGGCCACCCGTTCCCGCACGTCGGGTCGGACGCTAAAGGGTGCTGGTTGAAGCGGGGGCTGGCTGGTCGGTTCGGCTACAGCGAGCTGGGAGGTGCTGGAGGCGCCAGTGTATGATGCATCGAGGAAGGCTCCCAGAGGAGGGGCGGGTCCAGAGTCGGCTGCGTGCAACAGATTTCGCACCCGCCCCCTTTCCTTGCCCCCCCTTCTTCGTCCGACCCGAGCGCGTCGACGGAACGCTCGTCTGGGAGAAACTGAAAACCGCACAAGCACAACTTTCGCCGCCCCGAGCAAATTTCTTGGATCGGCGCTGGGCGCCCCCTGAGGAGCCTCCAGCGCCGCTTCAGAACTCCGCCCGGAGCTCCAACGATTTATGCTCCTGCCGTGTTTTCTTCTTCGATTGACCCCCCGAGCCTCGCCGTGGCTGGCTGGGCCCGCTGCCGCCAGCCTCCGCCAGCATCTCGTAGCTCCCCGACGGCGCCGCCGCAGCCGCGAGCGCCTCCTTGTCCGGCTGCCGCGGGCTCTGGGCGTCGGTTTTCTCGACGGCTCTCCTTCAGGTGGCCAGGGTCAAACGTTTAGAAGCCAGCTCACAGAAGCTCTTGGCCGTCCCCATGGCGCCCACTAGCGCGTCCAACAGCGCGCAAAGCGGACGTAGTGCATCTCCCCCATGTGGCGCCATTGGGCTAGTGGGCGCCATGTGGGCGCTATTCGGCGCTACTGATGGGCGCTGTTGGGCGCAATTTTGGCGCCCCTTCCACGATGCTGGGCGCGTTGCGCACACTATCGGGCGCTATTGGACGCTAGTCGCTGGCGTAATTTCTAAATGTGACGAGCGGAAGCTTCCGTGGCGGACTGTCTAAAAATATGCAGGACTTGAAACATATTGCCGCAGCCGCCAGGCCCAAAATGTGTGTGCTGGCGTTCCCTGGGGGTCCCGCCTCGTGTCGTCGACGCTTGACGACTGCATACCGCGGCTGCCAAGCCCCGAGTGTGTCAGTGCTCCCTGGGGACCCCGCCTCGCGTTTCGGGTGGGGGTCGCCCGAAGCAAACCAACCTGGCACGTTCCGTGTGCCCCCACATCCAGGGTGGGCTTCTGGTTTTCTCCGCACGCCCCCGCGCAGGAGGGAGCTCTACACGCCTCGCCCTCCTTTCTTCTCTTCTGCCTGCAACACTCGCCGTCGTCATTCTCTCCGACACACTCACACAGTCGCAACATCAACACCACCACCACCATCTCTCTCACACTTCCACCTGTCAGCTTCATTATCACGATCACCAGAACTAAACTGGGTCGATTATGGCAAATTGCGACCGACCTGAAATCTCAGACAAAAATCGTCCTGCGAATTCCCGCCAATTTCCAATCTCCAAACAATCTCCTGGCGAATCTCCCAAACATATTCGCGCCTTCAAACAACTTGCGGCAAATCTCCAAACAAATCTTCGCTCCACAAAGATCTCCAGCGAAATCTCCCCCAAATACTTCCCACATCGTTTCTGGAGAATTCCCCCCCAAAAATTCACGCCAGATATTTGTTGGAGATTAGCTGGAAATTTTCCGTTGATTTGAGGGAGATATTTGTTTCGACACGCCGGAGATTCTCTGAACATTCTTGCGCCGCGGCGATTTGCTGGAGATTTCTCTGGAGATTTGTAAAGCCTGGAGATTTTCTGGAGATTTCCCCGCAGATTGTTAGAGACCCCCCAGGTTTTCCTAAGTTTCTGGGAATGTGCAAACACAATTTGGAGATCTCCCATGGGATTTCCTGGATTTTTTTCACCCAGAGGGTCCTGGTCACCTTTGCCATCTTGACGCAATCTAACACTAGCATCACAACGTTCACACGATGGCACGCTCAAATCATCATCATCATCAGCATCACCATCACTACCACCACCACCACCATCACCATCATCATCACCATCATCAGCATCAGCATCAGCATCAGCATCGGCATCGTCACCATCACCATCATCATCATCATCATCATCATCATCATCATCATCATCATCATCATCATCATCATCACAACCACCACCATCATCATCAACATCATCGTCATCATCATCGTCATCAACATCATCGTCATCATCATCGTCATCGTCGTCATCGTCATCGTCATCGTCATCATCGTCATCGTCATCATCGTCATCATCATCATCATCATCATCATCATCATCATCGTCATCGTCATCGTCGTCGTCATCATCATCATCATCATCACCATCACCACCGTCAGCACCCCCACGCAAAATTGCATTTACGCACTGCACCTCCACGCACACTCACACACTCACGCTTTTTCGTATTCACGCGCTCACGCACTCATACACACTTGTTGAGGATGTCTCGAGCGGGAACATTGTAAGTAAATTGCGAGGAAGTCTCAGGCGGGAGCCCACTCAATGTGGAGCCCGCATGTCATGGTTGCACTCAGACAGGGGTCATCAAAATCGCGTGACTGTCGGCACTTCTGGACCATCGAACCGCCAGGACGCCACTACCAGTGCTGACTTCGAGTGTCCGAAGTCAACTGTGGGCCACTTCGGGCTCTTCGAGCTCCCAGAACTCCACTCCTGAGACTGATTTTGCACGTCTAGAGCCACCTGTAAGCCACTTTGGGATTGCAGCGGCAACGGCCTCTGGAAATCCATCCGACCGGTAAACCGATAAACCGATAAAAACTAATCGGTTGATCGGTTCACAAGCCGATCAACCGAACAACCGATATAATTTAATCGGTTTATAGGTGGATCGGTCTCTCAACCGAAAAAAACGATACCCTTTATCCGCGAACATAGAAACGATGGCCGGCGTGCTGTCCCCCTCTTCGTCGGTTTATCGGTTTATCGGCTCATCGGGTGACTGGCTGGTCTGAGACCGCTGGGGGCAACCCTGAGGAGTCGATCCTTGCGCCGCATATCGGTTTACCGGTTTCTCGGTTATCGGCTGGTTGTCAGGCCCCCGCCGCGACGACGACGGCGACGGCGACGGCTCTGGGGCGGCACTGCCTGATCAGCGTGAGTTTTGTGATTGGCTCTGGTGCGGACGGAGTCCCGCAGGGGTCCGAGCCTCTCCCGCCGCATACGATGATCTGCGTGGTAGTGCAGGCCCTGCGAGGGTCTCAGGCGACAGTGGCCGAACCAACTTGGGGCAGGGCATATCCGAGGCCAGATCTCTTAGGATGTCTAAGGCGAAAGTGGCCTGACCATTCAGCTCAGGGCATCTCGGAACCGAGAGTTACGAGGATGTCTCATGCGAAAGTGGCCTGAACAGGTCAGCTTTGGGCGTCTCGGTAGCCACTGTTGCGAGGATGTCGCAGGCGAAAGTGGCCGGACCGACATGGGGTAGGGCACCTCCGAAGTTAGAGGTGCGAGGGCGTCTCAGGCGAAAGTGGCCTGAACACCGCATCTCGCGGCAGATCCGGGGTCAGACTACTTCAAGGCAGGGCACATCCCAGGTCAACACTGCGAGTTTGTCTAGGCGGAACTGGCCAGCACAATTTGGGGCAGGGAATATCTGAGGTCAGAGTTGCGAGGATGTCTCAAGCGAAAATGGCGCGAATATCTGAGCTCAGGGCATCCCAGAACCCACAGTTGCGAGGATGCAGCAGGCGAAAGTGGCCTGACCACCATGGGGCTGGGGGCAGGGCAACTCCGCGGTCAGACTTACGAGGATGTCTGACGCGAAACTGGCCTGAACACCTCAACCCTGGGCGTCTCGGCAGCCACAGTTGTGGGGATGTTACAAGCGAAAGTGGCCAAACCACCATGGGGCAGGGCACCTCCGAGGTCAGATTCGTGAGGATATCTTAAGCAAAAGTGGTATGTCCACCTCAGCCGAGGGCGTTTCGGAATCTAGAATTACGAGGATGTCTCTGGCGACAGTGGCTGGACTACGATGGGGCAGGGCATCTCGGAATCTAGAAGTGTGAGGATGGCTCGGGCGATGGTGGCCAAATCACCTCGACTCAAAGCATCCGTAGCAGTTGTTGTTGTATCAGCGCGAATAGTATGAACATAATTGAACAGCGGAAGCGGTAGTAACAAGTAGTAGTAGTAGTAGTAGTAGTAGTAGTAGTAGTAGTAGTAGTAGTAGTAGTAGTAGTAGTAGTAGTAGTAGTAGTAGTAGTAGTAGTAGTAGTAGTAGTAGTAGTAGTAGTAGTAGTAGTAGTAGTAGTAGTAGTAGTAGTAGTAGTAGTAGTAGTAGTAGTAGTAGTAGTAGTAGTAGTAGTAGTAGTAGTAGTAGTAGTAGTAGTAGTAGTTGTAGTAGTAGCTGTTATGGTTGTGGATGTTCTTTGCGCGCCCTCGCGAGGCCATCGCGAGGCCACCTTGGAGGCCAGCTCTCTAGCCCAGGCCGCGACGCGCGAAGCACGATTATCTTCGCGCCCCTGGGGTGACCGAGTCTCAGACAGCCGCCGAAGGCCTCCTCCTCCCGCTCCTCGTTGTCCTCTTCCCTCCTCCTCCTCTTCCCTTATCCTCCCCCTCATCCTCTTCCCTCCGCCTCCTCCCCCTCCTCCTGCTCGTCTTCCTCCTCCCCTCCTCCTCCTCCTCCTCAGCATCTGTTTCATCATCATTCTCATCATCATCATCATCATCATCATCATCATCATCATCATCATCATCATCATCATCATCATCATCATCATCATCAACAACATAATTATCTTCATCAACATCCGCGTGCTCGCTGTAGCTTTACAACTATCCATAGTAGCGAGGAACCGACCGTCCGTGCATTCCTATAGTCCTACCACGAAATGCTCTTAGAACCCCAAAACGTGCTAGGAGCAAAAACAATGTTCTGATAACATAAACCCGACGTGCTTAAAAACAACAGCCTCGGCCAGAAAAGGTTCTGAGAACATTTCGTGCAGACCACATAAGGTTTTTAGAACATCCTTTGGTGGGCCTGTAGGCGAGCCAAGACGCTTCGTCACTGCTTGAACTCTTACGTGTAGTCCACTCTCCCACGAGATCTAGCAGAATGCTGGGCCCGCCCCCCCGGCTCCGCCGTCGTCGTCGTCGTCCTCCTCCTCCTCCTCCTTCCCCTCCTCCTCCTCCTCCTCCTCCTCCTCCTCCTCCTCCTCCTCCTCCTGCTTCCCCACCTCCTCCTTCCCCTCCTCCTCCTCCTTCTTCCTCCTCCTCGCGATGGGCCACTCTTACGTGTAGTCCCTTCTCCCATGAGATCTGGCAGCATGCCGGCCCTCGCCCCACCAGGCTCCGCAACGAGGGCGCTGGGCGGCCCGGGTGCGGCCCGGGGGCGAGCACGGCGTACAGGACGCCGCCCATCGCGGCGAGGTTCAGGGAGGCGATGGCCAGGATCACGGGCCTGAGAGCAAAATAAAAGGCCGCGCGGCGCTTCGCGGAGGGGGGGCAAGCGTTGAGGGCACTCGCGCCTCTCTGCTGCGCGGGCGATCGGCGCGAGTTCCCTCCCAGCCCCCCGTCAGTCCTGCGAGCTCAGCCCGACCCTGCCCAAGGCCAGAGCTAGCAAAACGTTCGGGGAGGGGGGGGCTGGCTGGCTCAGGAGCTCGTCTTGTCTGGTTTCGTCTTGTCTGGTCGTCTTGGGGGCCGCCTCAAGGGTGCCTAGGGCCGTCTTGGAGTCACGGGCACGCCGGTCTCGTGGCCGGCGGTCGACTGGAGGCATTCGCCCGCCATGTTAAGGTAGGGAAAGTCTTTCCCCTGGGCCTGGACGGGGGGGGGACATCGACCTGGAATCGACGATGCATCGCCGAAGGATCGGCATTAGGCCCCCGATAACGAATCCACACGTTCCTCGGCGGGGTGGGCCCTTGGGCCCCTCTGTCGGCGATGAGTGGGCGAGCGGGTGTCGATACATCTCCCTTGGGCCTGCCCCTCCCCTCCAAGGCTTCCGCATCCACATCCCTCTGGCGCATTGGTGTCTTCATCTGCAGCGGTATCTCCGTCAAGCTTCGTCGGCCTCCGCGGGCAGTTTTCGGGCCTTTTGGGCTGTCAAAAATCGATTTGGAACGGGCATCAGAATCACTCCTGGGAAGGGCCACGGATGGAAGGAAACGCATCGCCAGATGTCGGGGTCCCTCGGCACGTGCTATGTCAGCTTGCGCCCCCAACCCTGGAGGATCAAACAGGACAGATTTCCATGCATTTCTGACAAGTGTTTGTCCATCTGTTTCTGGAATATGACTGGGCTTAATGGGCTTCTGGGGGCCTCGAAGGATCTCCGAGGGCCTTCGTGGACACCGGAGGCTCGGATCCAGGGCGGAAGCAAACCTTACCAGGACGAGGGCTCCCTCCCCTGAGATCCGACGTCGCGAATGGATTGGAACATCGCGCAACATTGCGACCAGGACCCTGAACCGCCTTTTGGGGCCTATTGGGGACCTGCTGGCTGCGTCGGGGAACCCCCTACTTGGGCCCATGCTGGGGCCCTCTTACGCCACTGTTCTGATAGTTTCTCGGGCCGAGTCGATGTTTGAAGGTTCGAGAGCCCCAAATTGGGCGACAACGCCAACTGTGAAACATATGCAACGTCCTGATCTCATGGCCCCATCCTAACCCTGAAAATATGATAGGAACGTTTTTTTTGGGGGGGGGTTATCTTCGGTGCAAGTGAAACATGAGCTACGCGCCGGCGAACGTTTTGCAACTCAAACGCAACGTGTGCGAACCAGCTCAGGCTATCACGTCACAGCCATGCTACACTGCATACTGCCCACCAGGTCGGAACGTCATCGTGTACCCCCCCATCGATTGATCAACCGAATGTGGAAACGGGTGAGCTATAAGAGGCGACAGCGACTGGGTAACAGAAAGTTGCGACCGTGATGGCAAAAACTATCAGACGCCTGTGGCGAATTCAAACGCGCAGACGCAAGCCTGGACTCCATCCTAGCACGTGAAGGTGTGACACAGGAACAAGTACATGAACAATTGACTCGCGTAGACGAGCACGTGGATTGCAACTGATTTTGAACCCGAGTCTCCGCCAAAGCGGCGCGCGATGATAACCCGGATGTGACTTGAGCCAGCCCTCAGTCGCGGGCGCCAGCTAGTGCTTCTTTTGACAATATGTTGAATGGTACCTCGCATACGCATGACAATGTTGTCGCTGCTCACAAATTGGGTCAACGCATCTGCAAGGTCCTCCCGAATTTCTACTTTGATCATGATGATGTGTCCTCGTCACACTTTCTCTTGGAATCCAAACTGTCAAATCTCGAGGTGTCTGGCCACTGAAACTCCTCGCCTGCAAGCATCGGCAGTAGCTGAGCTGACATCACTCTTCAAAGAAATGCCACAATCAACATCAAAATCTTGGAGATATGCTTCAAAATTTTAGCGCTACTGAGCCGCCTCTCACCATTCTGAGCTGCTCTGCTTCTCCATAAGAAAACGCCAGAACGCTCTGAGCGGACATCCAAGACTTCATCGCATGCGATCCCAGCATTACTGTTCCTCTGTTTGCTTCCCTCTGTGTTTCCTTGCAACCAGCATGGTCGGCGCCCGCCCATGGAGGTAACTCCTTAGGATCTTCTTGGTGCAATTGCGAACCTGTCGCGGTTCTTGGTTTACTTATACACTGTTGTAGCACTTCTCCACGCCCATCGGGTCGGGGCTGACATAACGCGCGCAAGCTCATTGACTGAGACTCGTGTAACCGAGCGGTCTTGTTCTACATAGTTACCCTGGCCACCGACGCTAGGTATTTCTCAACTTCATGGCTAGGTAGGGGCTTCTCGTCTTCTCCTTCATAGTGTGACTGCTTTTCACGTGGCATCTCCAATCTCAACTTGCACTGATGCAGACCAAACTCTCTAACGCATATTTCGGAATTCCTTTAATCCGCCTCGTGCCGTTGCCCATCCTCGTTCGATTCCATATTTCGGTTGAGGATCCTGATTGCCTGTAATTGTTTGGCCCTGGTACGATCCACACTGGGTTTGGATGCAGTTTTTCGATTTTAAAAAAAAAAATAAAAAAATAATGTTTCTATCGCATCAGTCAAGAACAATATCATTACTCGATAAAACAGATCGCCTCCATAAACTTTTCGCCAGACCCGCCGTTCAGCGCGTTTAGACGCGCGCGGCGATGCCCCCCCGTTGCCAAAAATGTCGCGCGCAAAATCCACGCGACTAGATTCCCAATTGCTGGCGGCAGCACCAAGTGCCGCTCTTTGGATTTGACAATCTTCCGCGCGCGCCCAACCCGCGATCTTCTTCGGGTAGCCCGATGAAGATGACATTTGGCCTTGGCGAAGCCTACGCCGGCGCATCTACAAGTGCCAGCTCGGATCCTCTCGCGCGCCCCCGTCAGGGCGCCCTGTTCTCTCGGTGACTGCCATGGGGGATAAAAAGCTTGCCGGGCCCCCGCTGGAGGGTCGACTGCAAATGTGCCCCAGTCTTCGGAACTGTGCTTGACTTTCTGGACCGCAAGCCAGGGTCGGTACTCGGGCTCGCCGTCGCTTCCCATGTTGATATCTATCCACCTCGTGCTCATGGGGGCATTTCCAGTCTCGGGCCTGCAGTCCTCCTAATTCACTCTTTCATGGGCCTCGAGCCCCCTCGGCTGCTCCATATCCTCATCCCGCGCTTTTAATTCGAGGTCTAGATCGAGCTCGCCCCCGGGCGAGCTCGCCCCCGGGCGCGTCGCCCCTCGCGCGTGCTCGACCGTCTTCGCGACGAACCACGCGCGCGCCCCCCGCGGTAACTGGCCGTGCTTCAGCAACGCTTCCAGAACAACACTTCCTGGAACTCTCGGCCAGCCGTGGCGTCGGCGCGCTCCGTGGATCCAGCTGCGGCTGGGCGTTCTGTGTAAGACGGCGTGTGGAAGTAGTGGCAATCTTGCGCGATCCCTCTTGGACTTTCCCCTCCGCTGCTTCTGCTGAGTCTCGCTGGCCCCCTGTCCTCGAGCGCGCGCCCCGCGCCCGAGCCGCGAAGATCTCTGCGCGGGCATGGGCATCCTTGAGGTCCTGAGCTTCCCAGGGGCATCAGGCGGGAAGTGCCGCGGCCTTTTCTGGCCCGGATTCGCGCCGGACCATTCCCGCTCTCAACTTGTTTGTGCTGGACCTCGTTCGGGGATGGACAGACCTCCCTTTAGTAAAACGTGGTTTAGTGAAAACGACCTGAGGCCCAAACCTGGCGGGCGCAAGCCTGGAAAAAAACGTACGCGGCGCCCTCTCGAGAACCGAAAACGGACAATTCACTAATCGACGTGTCACTGTTGGGGGTTCTGTCCGCCCCCGACTCGTGAACCTCCACTCTTCCGCCCTGCTCTCTCCGATGATCGTCCGGCTCGCAGGCTCTGACAGAGCGCCGTCGTCGGCCGTCGGCCGCCGGGCCCCCGAGCATTGCTTGGCAGTCGGCCCCGGCATGCCCCAGATCTCCTCGTTCGGCCCCCTCCAGCTAACTCGGCGCTCGACGTTGGCCGCGGCATTTCGCGCCGAGGGCCCTGCCGATGTAGGGGCTGTAAGTCATGCGCCGAGTGGACTTCTTGATGGCTAGTTCTCCGTCGTTGCAACGTGCTTCAGATCATGGCGGCGCCGCTCGCACTCGGACGCGCGCGCGCGCCTTCGCGCCGCGGCATTCTCGGATTCGGAACGATTGGGAGCGCCTCAGCAAGAGCAGCATTTTGAACAACAAACGCAAGCGAAAACCCAACTCGCCGCCGACATCTTGTGGACAAAAACGATACGCGAGGGGGTGCCGAACACTCCGAGACAGATTCCGCCACAGACTCAGGGGAGAGGGAGAGAAAAGAGTATTATTGATATTGAGCACTTGTAAAGGAGGAGGTGGAGGAGGAAGAGGATTGAGGGAGAACGATCCACCATCGCCAGCTGGAAAAACATTCTTCAGAAGGGGGCGGTCAGGACCCAACTTTTTTTCTCCCCTAAAACGAATGCTGAGGGGGTGGCCAGAAACCAGGGGACTCCCCCCCCAACGCAGAGAACCAAAGGGGTCAGGACCCCCCATTTGTCCACGGGAAAATTATTCGGCCCTGCGACGGCGACAACGTCAGCGGCGGCGGCGGCGCTCGTGTCGCCAGCGCCTGCGTTAGGCGCCGGCTCTGCTAGGCTGTATATACGGTGTCCTTAGTATCCTACTAGGGCCGTGCTGTACTACTCTCCCTGTACTCTCCTCTACCCTACTCTAATCTGCCCTAATCTATTATACCCAACCGCGCCCTGACATAATCTACCATACTATACTCTGCTCCCACTCAACTCTTCTCTACTCCTCCTCTACTCTACTCTACCCAACTCTGCTCTTATCTATGCCTGATCTTTTCTATACATCTACTCTTCTCCAGTCAACTCCACTCTACTTTACGTATGAGTATGACCCACGTCTTCCTACTTTACTCTGCTATACCCTGCTCTACTCTACCCTACCGTACCCCACCCTACTATCCCACCCGACTCTGCTCGACTCGAGTCGAGTCGACTCTACCCTGTTCTGATCCTATTCTATATTGTGCCTGCTCCACTCTGCCCGTCGTCGTCGTCGTCGTCGTCGCCGTAGTCGTCTCCGTCGTCGTTGTTGTCGTGCCCTCGGCTTCGGCGGCGTCGTCGGTGTCGTCGTCGTCGTCGTCGTCGTCGTCGTCTTCGTCGTTGCCGTCGTCGTCGTCAGCGTCGGCGTAATTCGGCGTCGGCGTTGGCGTCGTCGTCGTCGTCTTGGTCGTCTTCGTCATCGCGGTCGTCGTGCGTCGTTGTCGTTGTCGTCGTCGTCGTCGTCGTCGTCGTCGTCCGCGTCGTCGTCGTCGTGGTCCTGGTCCTGGTCGTGGTCGTGGTCGTCGTCGTCCGCGTTGTTTGCTGGCGGCGGCGACGTCGTCGTCGTCGTTGCCGGGGGGGAGGGGGGGTGTTCTGGACCACCCCCGAATAATTTCTCCTGGGAGGGGAGGTCTGGACCTCCCCCTGGTTTTCTTGTCGGGGTGGGGCTGAACCTATCCACCTCCGCCAGCAGCGGCAGAAAGCGCTCTCTCGGAGGATTTCTTTTGGACGTGGGGTAGAGTCAAGCGCTAACTCGCATACTCCGAGTTTCTCAATAAGCGTCACCCTGCCCCACATCGACCCGCGTCGCGGGCAGCCACCGCGCGCCGACGGCCTCCGACCCCCGTCGCGGCGCGACGACGAGGCGAGAATTGCCCCCGTCGTGGGGGTACCCCCCACGCTTATCAAGAAACCCAGAGTACGCTACTGGAGCGGGGACCGAACGAGGGCCCGAAAAGACTAGGAGGGCGACGAAGAGGAGGAAGCGACGGCCGACGGCCGCGAACGCTGGGACGGCCCCAGCGACGACGACGATGACGAGAACGACGACGACGACGACGACGACGACAGCGACGACGACGACAGCGACGACGACGACAGCAAAGACGACGACGACGACAGCAAAGACGATGACGACGACAGCGACGACGACGACGACGACGACGACGACGACCGCGACGACAACGACAACCGTAACAGCGCCTGGAGGACGACGACGACGAGAAGGACGAGGGCAACGCCGACCAAGAGGCACGGGCCTCCACATGGACGGCTTCCTGCCGCGGCCGCCCCGGGCGCCGCGGGGCACCTCCGAGGGCTCCGCCACCTCCTGGGGAGGACGCCCGCCGCCTGCGCGACGGGCAGGCCGCGTGGCCCCCTCTCGGGCGGCGGGCGCCGCCGGGGAGAGGTCTGCCAGCGCAGGGCCCGGGCAGGGGGGCTCCCTGCATCCCTCTCGACGTGCAGCGTGCCTGGGTTTTCAGGGCGTGCCTCTCGACGCAGCCATGGTGGCTCAAGGCTCACTCCGCTGTGCCACCAGGGGTACTGCTGGGGTAGGCGGAATCCCAGAGAGGCACCAAAGACACGCCAGAGGCCAGGCCTAGCGCTCACGACGAAAACATCATCATCTCATCATCATCATCATCATCATCATCATCATCATCATCATCATCATCATCATCATCATCACCATCACCAACACCATCACCATCACCATCACCATCATCACATCATCATCATCAGCATCATCAACAACAACATAATCATCATCAGTATCAGCATCATCAACAACAGCATCATCATCAACAACAGCATCATCATCAGCATCAGCATCATCAGCATCATCATTATCATTCACATCATTCACATCATCATCATCGTCATCATCATCAGCATCATCAGCATCATCATCGTCATCGTCATCGTCATCAGCATCATCATCATCAGCAGCAGTAGCATCAGTTTCCTCATCAACATCGTCAGCAGCATCATCATCATCACCATCGTCATCGTCATCGTCATCAGCATCATCATCATCATCATCAGCGTGGGTTTTAAGCCTGGACCTTGCTTCTTGCAGTGCCCAGGGCCAAGAGATGGTTCCCAAGTCGACGGTGCCGCAACACACCAGTCTTGAGCTTCCCCTGGGATCCGACATCGCGAGCACAAATGCAGCATCGGGAACAAGCATCCCGACTTGACTTGGGCCCTGCAGATCCAATCTTCGGGAATCGCTATTGGTGCCCTTGGCCCAAGATGCCCCCAGCTTTTCGCTCTCCATCTTGGACCTCTGGTCTGGGCCTTGTGAGGGGCTCTCTGGAGGCCGTGGGGGCCTCCTTGGAAGCCCTGGGGTCACCTTGGGTCAGAGGCACTCCTAGCAGCACCCGACATCTTTCTACGGCGTCTCTCGAGCCGGATCGATCGGCGAAGGCGCTGGGGCCCGAAACAGGGCGAAACTGCCCGTCGCGGAAAACGTTCGACGCCTGGAACTCAGGGGAAGTCCACTAACATCCGCTCGTACGGCCGGACCTAGGGCAGAATAACATCCTTGAAGAACATGAGACCCTCCGTCAGCCAAACTGAAGAACGTTCGAGGGTACACTCCCCCAAGATACACCAGACCATCCAAAAATTCACGAAGAACATCAGGGCACCTCCCCCGAACCGACCTTGATGTTATACCCCCGAACATGCGACGTCCTGATTTTTCAATACGGGGTCCCTGGAAGTCCCGACCCTTTCCCCGGGACGGGTTTCTCGTCCTGAATCGTTGTTTGACGGGCCTAAGGCCTGGGGAAGCCCCCCCGAGGCCGAAAATGCCCAAAAACCTCCTGTCCGGATCTTGTTGCGACGCGATCAAGCCTGGGCCTCGTTCCGACCGTCTGATTTTTCTATCCGCGGGTCCCGACACCTCCCCCTGGGGGCCGCATCAGGAGCTGTTCTCTCTTGCGGGCCCTCTGAGTATCGTTTAACCGATCCCCATCCCCAGTGGCGTGGCCTGGGCCCCACTGGCCGATTTACCCCCCTACATGGGGAGATAGGTCGTTCCCTTCGGGCTTCGAGGGGAGTATCCCAAACTGGGGGGGTAATTTGGTGAGGGTCTCGAAGGGGATGGGGATGGGGATGGGGGTCGGATAAACGATGCTGATCGTTTTGTCTTGGCTCCGCCTGCATGCGAGACGAGATCGAAGCGAAAGCTGCCCCCGAAATCGCCAAAGCACCGTTTGGGTCGCCCCCTGACCTGGGCCCGTCAGAGGCCTCCTACATGGGGCCCGAATAGATGGTGTCGGAAGATCGCGCCGCACTGCCGGTGCATCGGCCACGTCGCCGGTACATCGGCGACGCCAGCGCGGAGAAGCTTGGGCTCCAACAGCGATGCGGCGCGATCCTCCGACTCCGTCTTCTCCGACCCCAGCTGGGAGCCCTGGAGCCAAATCGGGGGCGCGCAAACATGGATTAGCGATCCATGGATTTGGCGCGCGGCCGCCAAATCCATGGATCAAAGGAGGTGCCCTCCCCCCCAAAGTGCGGCGGCTGCCGCCTCGCTCGGCGGCGGAAATCCGCGACTTCCCAGGGAAACGGGACCCGCCGCTGATCCACGCCCCCTTAATATCCATGTCTGCGATCGCCTGGAGCTGGGAGCCAGGGGGGCAGAGCGAGCCGGCGTCCACGAAATGTTCTAAGAACCAAAACAATGTTCTTAGAACATGAACCCCATGTGATAAAACAGGACAGACTCCGCCAGAAATGTTCTGAGAACACTTCGTGGGAACCACAAAAGGTCCTTGGACCATTGCTCGGTAGGGCTATGGGCGAGCCAGGACGCTTCGCCACTGCTTGATGGGAGCCCTGGAGCCCAAGGGGGGCAGAGCGAGCCGGCGTCCCCCCTTAACCTTGCTAATCCACGCCCCCTGAACCCATGTCTGCGATCGCCTGGAGCTGGGAGCCCTGGAGCCCAAGGGGTAGGGGGCCACATGCGAACCCTACCCCTACCCCCCACGATTTCTGAGGGAGAGGGTGGGGCTCACTTCGCTCGGGAGCTCCCGA